CAGTCTATATCTGCTATGATGTTCCTGACTGCCTAGACTTTTAAATACTCTAATTTAATATCTTTTTGTGTAGTTGCAAGAGCCTAAATCAAAAAAAAAAAAAAAAATTTTTTAATTTTGATGATCCCAAATCAAGGCTTATTCGCTCTATCATCATTATTTACGGAGATACGGCCGTTTTAAGTTTTGGCTATTTATAAAAACCAAAATCTCAGTTTTCGAGCGTTATCACGGGTTTGTGTCTATCTGCTTTGATGTTTTAGACAGCCTGAACTATTATTTTCTACAATTTTATTATTTATTGTGGAGTTGCAAGAGGCTAAATCAAAAAAAAAAAAAAAAAAATTTCTGAGTTTTTATAAACTTTTCTTTAAAAATAATGCAAAACAGTCAGTTTACAATATGACAACACCTGGAAAATGAAAGCAAATAAAAGTGTAAACATAAAAGATTTTAACAACCCAAGCGAATACGTGAAACTTAAAATGAAAGCAGTATACTGCATGTGAAAAATAAGGAGGGAGACAGAAGAGTAGGAGAAGAGAGCAGTTAGCAGGGACTATACGTGCCGATGCGATGCCGTGCATTCGTGCTGCAGGGAGCACACTCAGAGAAAAAAATCACAGTTTTGACTAAAGTTGCCAAGCCAAAATAGCTTTGGTCGCTCAAGTCATAACAGCTGTAATTTCGAGCTATTTTAACCTAACACACAAGCAACACCTAGCATTCACGTTATTGCTTGTCTAACACAAAGCTAATATGGCTTGTGTCTACTTAGTTCATACAACTACACCTTACCTTACTATGTGACTGAAGCTAAAACAGGTATGGTTTATTGCTGATACAGCTATATTTTTCTTTGAGTGCAGCAGAAGCGTAGGGATCTATTCAAGCTGTTGTATATATAGATCTATGGAAAAAATCTTTTGTGAGCATCGGGCGAACACTGCTTTAGTGTTGGTCCTTTGCTGAAGCTGGTATGGAGTCATGTGTGTGTGTTTGCACGCGCGAGACGCATGCATGGGATGGGTGCGAGTAATCGTATGAACATTTCATAAGTCTTTTTGACATAATTTTTTTACTTTGCATTAAAAAATAAGCTTCATAAATTTATTTATAAATTATTTTTCAAAGAAAATTCCTGTTTGCAATTTATAGCAAAATTTTTTATGATAAAACTAAAATTATATTAGACTTGATATTTTAAATTTTTACATTTTATTTTATTCATTTTTATTTGTTTGTTTGTTTTTTAGGTTCAAATACTTCAACTGCAAATGACGGCACAAAAACAATCACTAGACTGGATTTATTCAATGAAATCAAAGATGTATTAACAGATATTCAAAAAGTTTATGCAAAAGTTGAAAATCTTTATAAAGATAAATATGGTTCAAACCATTCACTATCCAATGATCATAAACAAGCAATCTCAAAATTGGTTCATCAGTTTAAAACAAGATGGACTGCTTGTCACAGAAAACAAGATGCTTTTGAGAAAAACAATCACGATTGGCTCAAAACATCTGTTGAACTGAAAAAAGTAGAAGAAAAAAAAGGAGAAGAAAAAACTGAGAAAAAACCGGCTGCATTGGGTCGTCGAAAAGTTGATTTTACAGAGGGTTCTGACCGTACTAAACGTAGAATGACAGAAGC